CCTTAGCATCTTGGGAAGGAAGGACTGTTCCCTACCTCACTAAGCTGAGCCCTAGCTGTGTGGGAAGGATTTTTGAAAGTATTGAATCTCCTGATTATCACTGCAGCTCTCCTAATAGCCAAAGTTTAACTTAGGCAAATCCTTTTAACTTAGTTAAGATCTAGAACTTTGTGAGATCTCCAGCTGTTAATTTTTTTTAATGTATAAAATATATTTGTTAATACTCTGTGGCTTCAAAATGCAGCTTGTCTACATGATCCAATACACTTAAAGGGTTGAAAAACAGAATGTAAATAAACACACTGTTTATTTTGAGATTTTCTCTTTCATAGTGTTCTCCTATTTTGTTTGGATTGTCAATGTTGTCTAGAAAGACACTTGAAAAATGAGTGCCTTACATAGTTACTTTGGATGTTTACTTATGTAATTAGTAGAAGATGAGAAAGCAGGAGTGTGTGTGTGTGTATACTAAAACTTGTGATTTTTTTTAAATGACTAGAAATAATGGGTTCCTTCTACAGCAGTTGGTTGCTATGCCCACTAATTTACACTGGTTTGGTGATTAGATCTGTAAAAAATTAGATTTCCTTATAATACTTCTGAAAATACTTGTAATACACAGCTATTCTTTGTTGTAGAGCTTCAGGGCTGTTTTAACTCATGTTCTACATAGAGAAACTAATTCAACGTAATGGTCCTGCACGTGCAGACATAATCTGGTCTTGTATAGCTGTCAGTCCAGTGCAGTTGGAAATTATGGGGAAGATAATCCTTAGGTCATCTCCTTTTTGCTGTATGCTTCAGAGGCAGGACTGGCAAGGATTTCTTGGAAGTGAGCAAAAAGATGAGAGTATGCTAAAATCTTTGCACAGGGTTATGAAGGTACCTGTGAGTAATGAAGGACTGTTGTTCACATATTGAACCACATATGGAGGTACATGGGACAACAGAAGGGATCCTGACACCTCAGCTGTCCTGTCCTCCCTCTTGCGGAAAGTCATCTCTACTTGAGGAGTGATTCTGGTGTTTCTGAGAGCTCAACAGCCAGAGTTTTAATAGGCTCTGCTTTAATGTGAACCAAAAATCAGCATTACTTTTCCCTATTGCATCAGGCTGTAATATCTTAAAGGGTTGAGTAGCTGCTACACAAGGAAGTAAGCCTATGTGGAGAGCAAACATATATGCAGCTCCTGAGGGAAACCAGTGCAGCTACAAATACAGCTCAAGGATAACTGAGTGGAGTAAGAGGGAAAACCAATAAATTAAAATTGTACCAAGAAATACTTTGAGACCCAGCGTGGCAATGGAGTGAGTGGAGTGTAATGACCATGGAGTAAGGATGAATATTTTTCAAATTTACAGAAGCATGAGCTCAGAGACATCATTT